TACAATCAAGCAAAAATAATAGAACGAACATGAAAGAAAATTAACCAAACCACTCTATCTCGATCTGTCTGGATTTGTAATTTTTAATCTATTGACTCGATTTGGTCATATAAGTAGTAAAATGAAGCCGGATAGTGTTCTTGGTTTAGTATTAATGTGAGACTTACAAGAATGAAACCCAACTCTGATGAGGTCCATCAAATTATGGACGAAAGCTAAGCACATTTTTCACCTGAAAAGAGGGAGGAATACTCGTGGACTGCGTCAAAATGAATATAATATAAAAGCTGAACGACTGCAGTACAACGATTTTCATCCGTCATCATCTGGTGAGATCGAAAAACGAATCTCTTCATCATGTACTTTCATTCGAAATGAAGGTCCCCCTGACAATGTTATCTCGGCAGATTCATCGAAACCAAGTTTCTCTTCGTATCTAAAAAAATCTAGTTAAAATGCATCACTTATTCGCTAAATAAACACACTATGGCTGCACAGTTAAGAGTAACTTTAAGCCCAATCAAAGCATAGATAGGAAAGTCAAGCTGAGGTCTATTCGCAGTCCATTCTACATGAATGGTATACGCATTCCTTTGAGTAAGGTGATAAGGCGACTAATATGTGAATTTCCCCACAATCCACTCAATCTCCCATAGCCTTGTTCACCCCAAATGTGTTCTCATCCAAGTAGGAATGGACGGCAGTTTCAATGTTGTCTCAACTGGTCTCGTCAGCACCTACAGCAGGACTCGAACAATGACTTTGCAGTGTTTAATCTCCTATCACATTCAGTGATGGGATTGTGGCTAAAGCAAAGCTGTATTCGTTACAGCAATCGACGATATTACTTAAATTTCGTTTATAAGTAGTTTTTTGATATTATCAATTTATCATATTTATCCTGTTGTTGGTTTTGCCTCATTTTCGTGAATTGATCCGAGCGACAGAAAGACCTAATGGACGCCTTAACTTCTGGCTTTTATCTTTCAAGTCAGATGCTTAAAATGATCATGAACGACTCAGAACTCGGTACCTTCAACACGGACCAATTTGGGAAAGCAAACTCAATGTCGTACCATGTTGGTGTTTATAGCAAGGTTCGTCTTTTCAGCGATAAATGAAAAAAAAACACTCAAATCGTATGCGCGTTGGAAGAGCTCCAGGCTCCAGGCGTCTGATGACTGACGGTTGGTGAGTTCGAGACCTCGCCGTAGTCGGAAGACTCCGTTTGACGCGAGTGGACACGTTAAGGACCAACTGGTCTTCACGGTGGAAGCATAAACAGACTCGTCTGTTGCCGTGCCGGTGACTGCTGGAAGCATGACTTTTTTTGCAGACATGAAGTCACCAAAAGTTCCCTCTTCACTGCCACTCTGACACGACAATCGGCAACAATACACGCCGGTTCAAGTGGTACAGGCGGCAGCGACAACCGAGCCGACCAGGCGACACAACCACATGGGGTGGAGATGTCGAGATGTTGCATAATCTCGCCCAACTTTGGCCAGTAGCCCATTGGTCGGCCGTCGTTTGCCGGTACCGAGTGAAGAGTCATCGTCGAGCCAAATCACACAGCACAAACAAGACACACCAACATGGCATTACTGGTCTTTTCACATGTGAGAGGTCGTCAAACCAATGCCATAGGCCTTCTTTCACAGCACTCGTGTCTCCATAACCTCCCTCTTTATTGCCACACACACACACACACA